GTGACTTTCTATGGCTTAGAAAAGACACATGTTATGATGTAATTATGGATAATCATACTACTATTCACAAGTGTGTTGATTGAGGTGATGTGATGTGATGATTGATAGACTATGGATAATCATACTATTATTCATATTTGTATTGTAAGTATCATATCTTATCTCATGCAAACAATCAATTACCTCATTCCATCATCAATTAACACAAACTGTATGAAAAAAACGGTTAAATAGGATGCTTAAATGCAAATTGGATGGTGCCACCCACCCAATTGGACTCCCAAAGGGTATTAAGGTCTATAGGTAGCTTCTCGTTAATTTTAGCTTCCGGGTAAAAAAAAAAAGTAGAAAATTGGCAAAATAGAATACACGCCTTTTGGCCAATTTCGGAGGTTTCAAAACCCGTTGTCGAAAAGACTCAAGATACTAGGGGATACATCCCGGGGTCATATAATGTCGTTTGGAACCATATATGATCATTATATGTTGCCATAAATGCCCGTGGTAGCCTTAGAGTTTATGAAATCAGTGGAATTTGTAAACGGGTAAATTGACAGTTAAAAGGCTTATTGGATGGTTTTATCCACCTTAATGGACTCCTGGGATTTATTCGGGTCCATGGGAAGCATCTCCGCAATTTTTGTTTTCGGGTCTAAAATAGTGATAATTGTTCAAAATTGAAGGCTATAATACACGATTTTGGGTCAATTTTTGACATTTTTCAAAAAAATGAACTGAATGCATGGGGTGACTCCTGGGGTCTTATAAAGTGGTTTGAAACCATTACACATCTATAAAGATGTTTATAAAGCACCGAATATGAGTTTTACTTCTAATTTGAAATTCATGAAATATAATGTTATCATTCAAGTATAATGATGTCATGTAGGTAAAATGATGTCATATAACCAGTACTGGTGTGATGTGACTTTCTATGGCTTAGAAAAGACACATGTTATGATGTAATTATGGATGATCATACTACTATTCACAAGTGTGTTGATTGATGTGATGTGATGTGATGGTTGATAGACTATGGATAATCATACTACTATTCATATTTGTAATGTAAGTATCATATCTTATCTCATGCAAACAATCAACTACCTCATTCCATCATCAATTAACACAAACTGTCCCTCAATCACCCTCTTATGGGGTCAATTACCACATTCCTGGTTTAAAACAACGCCAAACCTCGAAACACGCGTAATTAGGTTAATTTGGGATGTACCAAAGTGTCAAAAACCCATCCCCCTACTATTACCGACCTTTTTCACATCTTTAGGAACTGTTTTTCCAATTACCGCCTTTGTTCCCATATTTTTCCGTTTTACCGGATGCATCCCGGGGTCATATAATGTTGTTTGGACCCATATACGACCATAAGTCGGCTATATAAAGGCCCTGTGAAAGCTTATAGCCAAAGACAAGAGGTGTGTACGAAAAAAACGGCTAAATAGGATGCTTAAAGGCAAATTGGATGGTACCACTCACCCAATTGGACTCCCGAAGGGTATAAGGGTCTATAGGTAGCTTCTCGTTAATTTTAGTTTTTGGGTTAAAAAAAAAGTAGAATATTGGTAAAATTAAATACACGCCTTTTGGCCAATTTCGGAGGTTTCAGAACCCGGTGTCGAAAAGACTCGAGATACTAGGGGATACATATCGGGGTCATATAATGTCGTTTGGAACCATATATGATCATTATATGTTGCCATAAATGCCCGTGGTAGCCTCGAGTTAATGAAATCATTGGAAGTTGTAAACGGGTAAATTGACAGTTAAAAGGCTTATTGGATAGTTTTATCCACCTTAATGGACTCCCGGGGTTTATTCGGGTCCATAGGAAGCATCTCGGCAATTTTTGTTTTCGGATCCAAAATAGTGAAAATTGTTCAAAATTGAAAGCTATAATACACGATTTTGGGTCAATTTTTGACATTTTTTTAAAAAATGAACTGAATGCATGGGGTGACTTCTGGGGTCTTATAAAGTGGTTTGAAACCATTACACATCTATAAAGATGTTTATAAAGCACTGAATATGAGTTTTGTTTCTAATTTGAAATTCATGAAATATAATGATGTCATATAGGTAAAATGATGTCATATAACCATAGTACTGGTGTGATGTGACTTTCTATGGCTTACAAAAGACATATGTTATGATGTAATTATGGATAATCATACTACTATTCACAAGTGTGTTAATTGATGTGATGTGATGTGAGGTGAGGTATGGTGATGTGATGTGATGATTGATAGACCATGGATAATCATACTACTATTCATATTTTCAATGTAAGTATCATATCTTATCTCATGCAAACAAACAATTACCTCATTTTATCATGAATTAACACAAACTGTCCCTCAATCACCCTCTTATGGGGTCAATTACCACATTCCTGGTTCAATACAACGCCAAACCTCAAAACACGCGCAATTAGGTTAATATAGGATGTACCAAAGTGTCAAAATCCCATCCCCTACTATTATCGACCTTTTTCTCATCTTTATGGACTGTTTTTCCAATTAACGTCTTTGTTCCCGTATTTTCCCTTTTTACCGGATGCATCCCGGGGTCATATAATGTTGTTTGGACCCATATACGACCATAAGTCGGCTATACAAAGGCCCTGTGAAAGCTTATAGCCAATACAAGAGGCGTGTACGAAAAAAACGGGTGAATAAGATGCTTAAAGGCAAATTGGATTGTATCACTCACCCAATTGGACTCCCGAAGGGTATTAGCATCCAATTGTAGCTTCTCGTTAATTTTAGTTTCCGAATAAAAAAAAGTAGAAAATTGGCAAAATTGAATACACGCCTTTTGGCCAATTTCGGAGGTTTCAGAACTCGGTGTTGAAAAGACTCGAGATACTAGGGGATACATCCCGGGGTCATATAATATCGTTTGGAACCATATATGATCATTATATGTCGCCATAAATGCCCGTGGTAGCCTCGAGTTTATGAAATCAGTGGAAGTAGTAAACGGGTAAAATGACAGTTAAAAGGCTTATTAGATGGTTTTATCCACCTTAATGGATTTCCGGGGTTTATTCGGGTCCATGGGAAGCATCTCGGCAATTTTTGTATTCGGGTCCAAAATAGTGAAAATTGTTCAAAATTGAAGTCTATAATACACGATTTTGGGTCAATTTTTGACATTTTTTCAAAAAATGAACTGAATGCATGGGGTGATTCCTGGGGTCTTATAAAGTGGTTTGAACATGCAAAAAGTGGTTCAAAATGACTTGGTTTGAACATGCATTTTACAGGATGGCTTAGGCTGCTTAGCTTATTGCTTGTTATTGTGAACATGCAAAAATACTGTAGTCAATAATTTCTTAAGACAAGCAGAATATTTTGAAATTTTTTCTTCTATATCTTATAAGTTGTACCTATGCATCTTAATTTAGTTGCTCTTCACACAGGTTACAGATGCTCCGGAAATTCATTCAAATGGATTTCATATTAAGTTTGATGTTGGTCAGGGTCAGATTGGGTTTGTATTACCGACAATTGTACCACCTTGTGATATTGACATGCTTCAAAGATTGGTACCCGGAGATGATTTTCAAAAGGGCGAGAATTGTTGGAACACATGTATAGTGCTTCCTTCCAAATCAAAATTACTGGAAGGATCAGGAATGAGTAGCATTTTGTCTATGTTTTCTGATCTCCATTCTTCGTTGTTACTTTTTCTTCACCGTCTTCAGAGTATCAAGTTAAGGAATATGCTAAATGACTCACTTACTATTATGAGAAAAGAGATATTAGGAGATGGAATTGTCAAAGTATCTCATGGGAAAGAGCAAATGACTTGGTTTGTGGCTTCTAACAAGCTGCATCCTAAAGTTATCCGGTCCAATGTTCATATGACTGAGATTTCTATGGCTTTGACTCTGAATGAGACAATGAATGGTGACTATGAACCATTCTTAAGTCAACAGCCTGTTTTTGCTTTTCTACCATTGAGAACATATGGCCTCAAATTTATACTTCAAGCCGACTTTGTCCTTCCTTCATCTAGAGAAGAAGTTGATGGAGATAGCCCATGGAATCAGTGGTTATTGTCAGAATTTCCCGTTTTATTTGTTAATGCGGAGAAATTATTTTGCTCTCTTCCTTGTTTCCGAGAGAATCCTGCGAAAGCAGTTAGTGTTTACATGAGCTTTGTTCCTCTTATGGGTGAAGTGCATGGATTTTTTTCTGGACTCCCTCGGATGATTATTGCTAAATTACGTCAATCAAATTGCTTGCTTCAGGACGGGTGCAAGGACAAGTGGGTCCCTCCATGCAAGGTTTTAAGAGGCTGGAATGAGCAAGCACAGATGCTGTTGCCTGACACTATACTTTATGAACATCTTGGACTTGGGCTTTTACACAAGGATATAAGTTTGTCAGATGTACTTGCTAGAGCACTCGGTATTGAGGAATATGGTCCAAAGATATTGGTACAGCTTATATCTTCCTTGGGTCGAATAAAAGATGGTATAAAATCAATGGGTCTTCATTGGCTTTTCTCTTTGCTTAATGAACTTCACAACATGTTTCACTTCCATGCACCAAACTTAAGGAATTCAGGCTTCGAACAGGATCTTATAAATAACTTGAAAAAAGTTCCATTTATTCCACTGTCTGATGGTACATATGGCTCGTTGGATGATGGTACCATCTGGTTTCATGCTGACTACATAAGCACTGGCCTTGGTGGTGAACTTGGTAATGAAGCTTTTCCCTGCTTATATGCTACACTGAGGATTGTAAGCCCTGCCCTCTTTTCAGAGGCATCTGCTGACGTTACTTTAGTCAATAACTGTACAAGTATGCTGCAAATGCTTGGTGTTCAGCAGATGTCAGCTCATGAACTTGTAAAAATTCATATTTTACCATCTATATCGGATGGCCGATTGACTGATAACAAGCAGTTAATGAGGGAATATATCACCTTTATAATGCTTCATTTGTCTACTTGTGTAGATTGTCATGTTGAAAGAGAACTCAATTATTTCTGAACTATGCAGTAAAGCTTTAATTCTAACAAATCATGGGTACAAGCGACCGGTTGAGGTGCCGATTCATTTTAATAAAGAATATGGAAATTCTATGGATGCAAAGAAATTGATAAGTGGTTTGGATTACAAGTGGCACGAGGTTGATGGTATGTATTTGAAGCACCCCATTACCGAGTCAGTGCCATGTAGATTAATGAGTGGAGGAAGTTTTTTCAGAACTTGGGGGTTACGGATTTTGTCAAAGTAGTTCCCTCTGAGAAATCTGTTGCTGACTTGTCTCCTGCTATTCTTAGTCAGATGATGAGTGACAGACAGCTCATTTCCCCAGGATTGGTGGTTAGAGATTGGGAATCGCCTGAATTAGTTCGTATACTTTCCCAGTTGTCTAAGGATGGTAGCCAAGAGAGGTGCAAATATCTCTTGGAAGTTCTAGATGACTTATGGGATGATCATTTCAGTGATAAAGTTTTTGGGTGTTGCAGCAGTAAGTCTGGTCTGAATGACTTATGTTTCAGAACTTCGTTCTGGCATTGCATATCTGATATCAGGTGGACAGTTTCAAGTATATCAAATGAGCTTCAGTATCCAAAAGAGCTGTTTTATGACTGTGATGCTGTCCGTTCTATTCTTGGTTGTCATGCCCCATATGTTGTTCCAAAGGTCAGTTTAATTGATATGTTTTGTAAGAAGTTCAATGTTAAAGCTAGATTCAATTTGATTGCATGGTATTATCAACTTTTTTTTGAATGATTTTCCATCAAATAGCTCCACTTCTTTGTCACTCTAATTTGAGATATCCTTTATTTCTGCCTTTTGGAGCCCCCTTAATGAACTGTCACTCTGATGAGGTTCTTTGGTTTCGGGTCTAATATTGAAGTATTGTGCTAGTCAGTTCCTTCACCGTCCTTACCTTAGTTGTGTCAGACTTGGGTGCTATCTTAAAAAAATAGATAATCAAGGAAACAGTTTACGCATCACTGTGCTCTAGTCTGATATATTTGGTGAGCCTAGATTTGATGAAACCAACCAACCGTTCTGATTGCCTTCACTCAATAAAGGAGAGTTTGTTATTTTTTATTTTTTATTTTTTAAAAGGAGGTAGTGTATCTGATTGGGATATATAGTTAACTTGTTCTAAAGCCACTCTTCTGAATAAATGTACTTGCCACAAATTGGTAGTATATCTCAATATTATGGTAAAACTGAAAGGAGAGGGTTCTTTTGTTTGTCTAACGTTGGCAATTATTTGAATGCTGTAAGATGATTTGAATATTTCTCAGATATGTAGTTTTTTTGAAACAGGTTAAAAGTGTTAAACTGTTGACAGAAATTGGTTTCAAGACTGAAGTTACACTTGATGATGTTTTTGCAATGCTTCAAACTTGGAGAACGTTGGAGTCTACATTCACAGCCAGGTAGTATACTATTGCAGAGCTTATCACTTTTCTGCCTATTCTTGATCATTGGTTGATAAAAAGCAGCTCATTTCTTTGTCCCTAATCTTAACTGCTGATCTGTTGATTTAGAAATTCATTGTAATCTAGCCCCAGCATATTATACGAAAACTTAAGCAGTCATTCAAATCAATGTGCTTTGTGGCTTTGTAAGAGAGATTGAACAACTCGGTACTTTGTTACCATCTAAAGAAGTTACAAAAGATATTAGTCATGAACATATAGGGTATACATTCTCTGGCTGAAAATCCTAATGAAAGAACAGAGCTTGTCAAAAAATGATGGAAATTTTTGGTTGTACAAATTCATGTAAAGGTAAGGAAAGTAATTATACCTTGCATGGCACTGCAGTAACCCTAATTGAATAAAAATCTTCTATTCCTTTCTGATCATAGCACCCACATTGTTAGCCTAACTGCTAGGGGGCTCTTCTCACCTTATGCTTTCCGAAACCAATATATTGAACGTTTGAACCTAAACGTGGTGTAGAAATGGCGAGGTGCATAAATTGCTATCACCTTATTGTTCTAGGAGAGATGAATTAATGTGGTACAATGAGGTGTCGTAAGGCAGAGAGCTATAACCTCTTTAATTATTGCCCTTCAAGTTAATGTAGAAAGTCATGAACTCTAGTGTTCTTTTTTGTATGAATATGACATTCAGATGCATTATTTTGAATAGGCTACTTTTCACATTATTCCATATATTATCTTCTAACTAAATATGACTACATTTTAAATATGACATTCAGATGCATTATTTTAAATATGCTTATATCCCTTGTGCTGGAGTTTTCTGCTTCAATGTTTTTGTCATAAAGAGGTTTGACTGTTCATCCAAGAAGAGGACTGAATGCCACTCCCTACTTCAGGTAGTTGTGTAGTTTTGTGGACTTCCTGTTGTTGAAACTTGTGTATTCTTTTCTCAGAGGTATAAACATGGTTTTGTTTTGTAGGACAACATTCTGTACACAACTCAAGATTCTGATTCACACTCTTTGTTTATGGAACTGTCCCGATTATTCTTTGATGGTTCTCCCGAGTTGCATTTGGCCAATTTCCTTCACATGATCACTACTATGGCAGAATCTGGTTCAACTGAAGAGCAAATGGAGTTTTTCATCCTTAATAGCCAGAAGATGGAAAAGGTTCCCATTGAGGAGCCTGTCTGGTCTCTTTCTTCTGCACTGTCATTGTTGGAGAATAATGGAGCACTTTCTGGAAATGCCCTTTTTACAGATATAAATGACCAGGTATCTTCCAATTCCAAGGAAAAGCGAGCACACTCGTGCTGGCCTCCTGTGGACTGGAAAACTGCACCCGGGTTTAGTTGTTCACTAGCAAAAAGTTCCAGGTCACAACCTGTGATCATGGATCAAAGTCGCAATACAGGAACAGTTGAGGGTCTTTCAGTACAGGAGGAAGCTGAAGTGAATTTAATCAACATAGACGAAGATGCTATTATTGAAGATGGAGTCGTAGGCCCTGATTCATCTGCCTTCCCTCTTTTTGAAAATCAAAATGATCTTATATGCAACCAGCTTCCATCTATGGAAATGTTACCTGATCCTACCAACATTGTCGTTGAGTCCCTTTGCCCAGAAGCGGGACAATCAAAAAGCAGAGATCAGCATAATACTCCGGGTGCTCAAGAAGCAATGCGAATTGGTAGACTTGGAGAGCTGGTGGCTTTCAGATACTTGGCAGGAAAAGCTGATGGAGCAAAAGTGAATTGGGTCAATCAAGATAAAGAGACGGGCTTACCATTTGACATTGTGATTGGAGATGAAAAGAATAGGGAATACATTGAAGTGAAAGCTTCTAGATATTCTAAGAAAGAGTGGTTTGTCATATCAACACGAGAGTGGCAATTTGCAGCAGAGAAAGGTGATTCTTTCAGTATAGCATATGTTGTTCTTTCTGGCCAAAATCTTGCTAGTATCATGGTTTATAAGAATCCGGTAAAACTCTGCCAACTCGGAAAGCTGCAGTTGACTGTTACAATCCCAAAATCATATCAAGAACCCTCTCAGTAATGTTCCGCATCTCTTTCATATGCTGCCAGGTGATCTGTATACGACTGATTACACCTTTTGAATAACAAGTGAATTCTCTGTCTGATCTGTTCAGCTATGTTGCCATGGATACAATTGCTACAGATTAATGTCCTCGCATTGGTGAAAGCTGTCTCTGTTTTTTATGGAGGGAATTAGACGTGTAATTCAATCCAAGGATGAAATTAATACTCCTTACTTCATAATTTTGTAGGAGAGGTCAGAGATAGAGAGAGAAACTACAGCCAAAAGTCGTGATGTTACACCTAGTATGCAGCTTTATAAGTGAAACGTTGTGATTATTAAGAAAAACAGTTGAAATATAAAGAAAATTTTGGATCACTTTTTATTCTTGGCTCAAGGACCATTATTTTGTGTTTAATTTTTATTAAACATGTAAATATGTAATACTGTAAATGGTAGACTGGTAGTCTAGTCGATGCAAAGCTCCAAGAAAATTCCTAAGTTAATTTTTAATCCAAGTTTTATAACTTGTTTAGTTGTATTTTTCCTTAGAAATTGTTTTCCTGCTATTTCTCTCTGTTTTTATCCCCCTTCGATTCTGCTTCCTTTGCTTATTTTGAAACCGAGTAGCATGTTCTTTGGGGGTCTTCCAGATATATGATTTGCGGCCATATGTATGAAGTGCTAAGACTTTTGACGTGATATTTTTTTTTTCTTCTTTTGAAGTGTGAACTTTATAAGTATTGTACTGGAATTGGAGCTAGAGGTCACACTGTATATTCAACAATGGCCTCTCATGTTATGGCAACCTACTTAGTGCCAAGTTTCGTACTCAACAAATATCTTGAGTCTATGCACAAGGTTTTTCACGTCGAAGCTATTGAGAGGGAAAGGTCTTCATGAAATGAAATGAGTACTTTAAATTCGGTGCTAGTCACAAATTTATGATTAATCATAATATTAAGCATCTGCCTTCAATTCCATGGCATACAAATGAAGTAATATTAAGCATCTGCCTTCAATTCCATCTGCCTTCAATTCGGTGCTAGTACTTTAAAACTAATTTCTTACATTACTAGAAAAAATGAAGTACCTTGGCATACAAATTTCCAATTTCTACTAACACTACACTGTCTACAGACTCTACACTAGCACTAGATAGATCCAGCAAGCAAGATCACAATCGAAACACAACGAAATCAGTATAGTAAACAACCTTGCGCGTTATCTCATGTATGTGAAAATGCAATTAAGCCACGCACTTAACCTGAGCTCAACATTATCAATGCTTAAGCAGCTTCATCCTCCTCATCGGTATCATCATGCTGTTCTTCCTCATCAGTGATATCAGCATGTTGCTCTTCCTCATCAGCGATATCTGCATGTTGCTCATCCTCATCATCGGTATCATCATGTTGTTCTTCCTCATCAGTGATATAAGCATGTTGTTCTTCCTCCTCAGCGATATCATCATCATCATCGTCGATATACAAACCAGTAAAGCTGACATTAACATTTCCAAGGCTAGGGCAGTGCCATTTAACCCAAGGTGGAGGCGGAAAGAACAACCCTCGATACAGCTTATGGTCCTTGTTTGGATAGTTCAAGAGAAGCCTGGCCTGCTTTTGTATGTTGAACACATGAAAATATTTATCATATGTTGGAAAAATGAGACTGTTGAGGTACTCTAGTCCCTTCGGCATAGGACAGTCAGGCCTGCTACTTCCTTTACCATATCCCTCCACCCCTCCACATACGTCGAACTCAGGAAACCACCAACAAATCGTACTCGGCTTCCATTGTGGTAGATAATCTTTCAAAGATGGGATACCAAATGACCTCTCTATAAAACGCCCAAAACCAAGGAAAAAAGCTCGATCACCCAAGTTTTTCAAACGCACCCACTCTTTTTCTTCCTTAAACAAGAACACAAACATTCTGCTAGTCCAACTCCCTCCACCATAATCCTCTCGTAATCCGTCGATGGCCAGATAAAACTCCTCATTCGACGACACCATCTTCAAATACCTTAACTCGTATGAAATCCCTTTGACTTTAATTTCTTTGTGCACTTGATTTTGTACCAAAAAATCAGGCCTATCTATGAACTGCATCGAAATCATTTTATGTTGAGGATCGATTACTCCGATTTTCCACTTAGGACAATGACGCCCTCTTTCTTTGAACAAGATTACATAGAATTTTCCATTATGAAAAGCCATATCAAGTACATTTCCCCAATGACGAGTCTCGATATCAATCCATTGTTTATCACCCAATCTCCATAACATCAACCCACAATGACCCATCACTAACACAGCATACTTGTAACTCGAATTCAATGCCCACCCACCTACAACTTGGAAGGACATACATTCGGGTCGGGTTTCACGGTCCGACAATTGAACCAAGTACATGGGTCTATCAAGTTCAAGAAGCCAACAATCCAACAGATTGAGACCCAGTTTCCCAACAATGGGTGGATCCGCGTGAAAGTAGTCTAGCGTCAAGCGGTCATCAACCGGGTTAAGGAGGTGCCATTTGGACGGTTCGAGTTCAATCATCCTGGCGACCCAAGCACCACCATCGACGCCGGAAGAGGGGAGAGGAGAGAGAAAGTAGAATCGGGTTTGGAGGAGGAAAAGAGGGCGGTCTCCGTAAAGAGGGTGTGTTGGAGTCCTGAAACAGGGTCTTAGTTGGGAAGGAAATTCAGGGTTTGGAGAAAGAGTGGTTCGCCAAGAAGAGCAAACGGCACGAAGACGGTGAAGCTCTGGTTTCAAACCATGGTGTTCGACGATGTGTAAGAGTATGTCTCTTGGAAGATTGCTCCATTTATCGACCCTTTTTTGCTTGCCGGAGTAATCCCTTTGTGTTTCCATTCTTGATATTGGGAACAGAACAAGAACAAGAACAAGTAGAAGAAAGAAATAGAGCAACAGATGAGTAGAATAGAATGAGGCACTGGACATTTTGTATAAATATATGTACATATATGGAGAAAGAGAGAATAGAGATGGAGGGAAAAAAGAATTAGACTAAATAACTTGATATATTTTGTAAAAAAAACACTCTTTATTTACCAAGGTTTCCAAGGATGTTGATTTCCACAAGTCTTTATGTTTAGTGCTTTTATTAGTTTGTATCCTTTAAACTTTGTAATTGCTCTTTATTTATGAACTACTCTAACTCGGTAGAGTATGTATATTGGAAGGAATAGAATATACAAGGGTGTACACAAAAATCGACGAGGTTTTCACCTTATGTGGATCTTCATATCTGATCTTCGTTGAATTTCTAAGTGGTTATACGTCTTGTAATATTTGATAAAGCGAATCTAATTAATTATAAATTAAATAGGTTGAGGGATTTATTAGCTCTAATAAATTTATAATTATCCATTAATAATATTGTCTAACCTTGTCCCATACCACATTTATTTTTTTATTTTTTAATTTTTAAGAATGGTTCATTTGTAAACAAGTGTTTTTACTTTTTTTTGGATGGGATAGATGCGTCAATAAGTTAATTTGTTAGTCTTAGTCTTTAAGAGCAATTTGGGTACGGTTAATAATTCTTAATTTTGGAGCATCAATTATCCTCCTCATCTAAGACATGAAGATATCTCTTGTAAGTAGACAATGTGAAAATTGAATATATCGCATTTATGAATTAGCAAACCAAAGGCCCAATAGTATATTACTGATCAAATATATCAATTATAATAAGAGATATGTACAAAAAAATTTAAGAAAATTTGCACACTAGTGCATCCATCTATCCATCTTCATAACCAGACTTAAACGTTTAAAAGGAAGTGTTTAATAATTCCTAGAATTAAATCATCGCTAGACATTTTGGTGAGGCTATAGACATCCTATCAGTAGAGTAAGAGTGGTTTTCGAGTCACTTACGCAGCCATCTTTATTAGATGAACGATTTCAAATTGCATGCTTAAATCCCTATGACTTAATTTCTCTTAGTTCTTGAAGTGGAGACTCAAGGGAAATGCGAGAGTAAAATCCTGGCTGTCTTTCTAATGAGTAAGGTGCTTGCAGTGGTGGATTAAGACTGATTTGCTAGCCTTTTGAGGCGTTTCCGACTCCTTGCAGTCAAGCTTAAAGCAACCTTATGAAGTATTCTTGACTTCTTGCAGTCAAGAGTAGAAATCAAAATTAATCTAGATTGAGCAGTTCTTGGTGTTAGTTGTTACTCTATCCAAGTGAATATTTGACTTTAAACTCTGAATATCTACGCATAATATCCATGTTTTAAACTGATCAGATCCATGTTTCAATCTCCAGAAAATAACCCAGCAAAAAGATTGTCCTGGGTGCTAAAGACGTCAGACTGCATACCAACATCATCAAGCGCAAGATTACAGGATCAAAAAAAAAAAAAAAAAAATATATGCATGAGCCAGAATAGAAGCTACTTGATACCAATGCCATTTTGTTTAATAACAGAGAAGCTGAACTGGAGGATTGAAACGCAATATTGATAAATAAATTACAACAACTGACAATCACAAACTTACGGTTCAAACTCTTCACCTAGATCTCTAGATAACTCCGCAATCAAGCTGTAGAGAAAATGAAGAGCTCATCCTCAATACCAAAATAGTAAACATAATATTATTGCACTTCGTATAACATAATAGAACCACCTATAACTCAAGAAGAAGGAAATAAAAACTCATTCCACAAAATCGTAGATACAAATAAACAGAACCAGCACTCTACACAACATTACATTCCACTAGAGTTTCATAGGGATAACGAGCCTCTTGATTATCATATTAAATCCGGATTAAGAAAGGCAAACCTGAAAGACAAGAGTCTCTTGATTATCATATCCTTGTGTAATAGAGCCAACGACAAGGTTTGTACAATGAAATGATATCCTCGGCTGTATTTGACTCCTCAACCAAAACCCCCACGACAAAATGTGATGCCTTCCCATTGACAACTAACATTAAAGCTAACAACTTTTGAATGCAAATTGCCTCAATTATGATCACATGATTTATGAACCAACTACTGTTTCTATCAAAATAAAACAATAATGATAAAAGGAGTATAGTAAAATAATTAGCATACCCTCCAATGTATTAGACAATCCAAGAAGAAACAAGAGCCAGAAGAGGGCTTAGCCTTCACCGTATCGAGATTCCGAAAAACATTGATTTCCAGCTCGTCGATTTGTTGAGCACATTATTTAAACTGCACAACAAAATTTCCAACAATTGAATAAACTCACCTCCAAACAAACAAATTCAAACATCAAAAAAAATAAAAATTAAGTAGGGTTTATAGTGGAAGTGAGAGCACAGTACCACAAAGCGGCGGTTGCGGAGGCCGGGAGTAGTATTGAGAGATTTAACGGCCTGAGCTTCATTGGGCAACGCCATGGTTGTTGCTCAAAAAGAGGACCGATGAAATTGGGGAAACAGAGAAAGATGGCAACAGAAAATATTATCAATATCGCAGGGATATATATAGGTTCCCATTCGCCAGGTGTTGCGAGTTGAGGGCCGGACTTTCTTTTGTTTTTTTTTTTCTAAGGTCTTTATCGGAGTTCAAGTAATCTTGAATAGTGAATACTTCCTCAGTTATTATATAGTTGCACGTTTCTTTAATCACGTTTATTAATACACAATTAATATAAAGATAAAAATTATAAAAAAAGTTGATGTTTTAAAAATATGCATGTCGTTACAAATATAATAAATATACGGAGTATTATATTTTTTGTTGCATATAAATCACAAAATATGGACAAACAGAGGTGTGAATAGTGCTAAAATCTAAGCGTGTTGATTGAACAAAAGACTCACATTAAGGAGTTAGTGTTATGTGTAGCTAATAGTCGGAAGCCATGTTGATTGAACAAAAGACTCAAATTAAGATTTTTGCCAAATTTCCAAAACTAGATAAACAAAGAAGAAGACAAAGAAAGAAAGAAACAAGTTAGCAACTTCAAAACTGCTGGTTACTGAGGAACAACTTAATATGGTACACGTGACCATGCACTAGGGTTCTACATTAACAAAATCAAAAAATATCATTTACATTCTTAGGGAAAATGCCTACATTAAAAAAATTGTATTGGCTCCGAAGAAGCCAAAACCACACAACTATAAATCTATTCTCCCCAAAGCTTGCTTTCACTGAATTACTGGGTCTTCGGCTTGTCAATCTTCACATATGGCAGAAACCCCATGAAATGGTCAACTTTCGGATTCCATCCTAATTGCTGTGCCCGACAAAACATCAAAAATGTATTTGCAAGATATGAATTGAAACCCATGAAGACATGCCAGAAGGCATGACCCTGCGGGTTATAACCCCAGCTAGAAAATTTCTTGCAGAACTCACGATCCACAAGCCAACAAAGGCTACCCAGCAGTAGTGTCACCAAGTACAACTTCGCCAGCCACTTAGCACAGACATCACTGGTGTGGATATAATATTTGTACATCCGAGGGATGCAAAGAAGACACAGTAACATATAGTGTAACTTAAAGCCGATATCAAAACCAACTAGATGATGAAGAAGACCAAATGCAGCACCGTAGAAAAAGATGAAAGTTGGCATTGTGCTCTTATAGTGCCAGTCTGGTGAGTAGAGTATGTAGAGATAAAGCAGCATCTCCCACACCATTGGTGTTTCGTCACTATGTTGATGCCTGCCAGCAGATTATGACAGAGTTATAAGTAGCTAAAAAAGTGAATGACAATGCAGGATTACCTAGTTCGCACAAAAACATATCCCTAAGAACATTTGTAAGGATATCAAACAACAGCGTAGCTGAAGAGCTAATGAGCTATATTACCGGCGTGTTCTCAAGTATCTCAACTCCACCTATTACTTGAAGAAAAAGTCGCAACAATAAAAGCTATAACTTTTCATTTTTTTCAAGGTTTAACAAAATACTGCAAGGACTGGGGGCCTGGGGCACATTTCTATGTTGTCTGAACTACAAAAGAAATAAAAGATGATGGAGGAGAAAATACATCTACCTTTCCCATTTAAGTTATTAACTTCCTTTTCTTCCATTTTGGGCAAAGTGTTCATGCGTTGAATGAAAGTATCAAGCTGCTGAAGATATCACAATGACTAATAAGATCATACATTGCAATGACTAATGAGAGCATACATCACAATGAGTTGAGTAAAGCGGGTTGAAAACCTAGGTATTACAAGGAGAGCTTAGTTTTTAAGGGTGCAAGGCGTACCAAGGCGCAAAAAGTCCTTGGAGCCGAGGCGCAAGGCGAAGGCGCGCGCCTTTTGTAGGTGAGGCGCACTTTATTCATATAGAAAAGAAATAATAATTTCTATTAAATAAGTGTAAAAATGAAATTATGAGAAAAGGTGAAAGGGACATGTGATCAATAACAAGGGTTCTTCAAATTGAATTATAGGATATGGAATTTCTCTCTCCAATAGAATTGAAGAAAACCTGCCCATAACAAAGTCTCATGGTATACTTTAGGAAAAATAAACTTACACAATAGCTATTGATGCTTTAAAACATAAAGCGCAAAATAAGGCGCAAAGGCGCAAGAAGCAGCCTAGAAAAAAGCGCAAAGGCGCGCGCCTTTTGTAGGTCTTTGAGCCTCAAAGAGCTAAGGCGCCAACTCTTGAGCCTCACTACGCCTTGCGCCTTTTAAAACTAAGAAGGAGAGGAGTAAAATCTATTCACTAGAAAATAACCTCTCAGATTGTTACGTAGAGAACCATATCCTGAACTCCTTAATATAGCAATACTAGCAAATGGATGGGGTCCATGGTGAGAAAAGTTGCACTGCAGAGACAGGGCTCTTCACAATTTCAATAGAATGAAGGATAGAATATTGATATTGTGAGGGACTATCTCATCTAAAACCTAAATAACAAGATAACTTACTAACCATTCATAAATGTAAAAAGAGGGGGCTCGTCACATCACAAGTTCATAGAACACCCTAAATGCTTGACTGAAACTGTGAGAGTCTATCTCCTCTAGAATAAACCAAAGTAGAAAGTTCTACTGCCACCATATCTCAGTAATCTCACTCTTCCAAAGCCCAGCCTACCTCCATCCCCAAAGTGATCACCCTCATGAAAAATGAATATTTAGCACCTGAACTCTGTACAATCCTCTTGGCTACCACTACCCTCTTTCTTAGTCACAAAAAAAAACAAAAAAATAAAAAATAAAAAAAAGAGAGAGAGGAAAGCAACAGCACAGAAGTGCACACGCACGTGTGCACACATACAGAGAGAGAATATTTTTCTAATCCCTGATCACTTAAATAGTTAAATATAGAAGGGTATAAACAGAAATAAAAATGATGACCAGAAATGCCATCTTACAGCAAACAGGAAGCAAAAACCATCATTTCTACACCCACTGAAAACAATAGATACACACACACTAATATAATGTTGCACCGATACGGACACGGACACGGACACGGGTGCGATACGGACACGGTAAAACGGCAATCCTAAAATAGGGGACACGGGTACGACAAATAACAAAACAAATAATATATCGAAAAAACGAGATTTTGACAACCTATTCAACAAAACTCTAAATAATCAACCTTAAAAAAAGTCATTTACTGTAGCTAAATAATATTCTCCTAATTCACATACAATAATGTGCTATGAAATGTGTTTTGAAGGCGCTCGTATTATAACTCTTACCTTTTTCTCTCATACTTTACCTTAACTTTCTAATTAAAAAAGTTAAAAAGATGAGGTGACATATCAAAATGAAAACTGGATCGTATCATAGTAGGATACGATTTGTCTTAAAGTGTCTAAATATATTAAAAAATTGGATGCAGTTTTTATGTGTGTCTGTCGTGTGTCGAACGAGTGTCGGTGTCCGACACGGTGTCGGACACGGACACGGCTGTTGGACGAAGTGTCCGTGCATCCTAAAAGATCCTAAGAATAATATGGTTGCAATAATATCTTTTCCGGCTTTTGTATATCTTGGGATTTATAGAAAGGTTAGAAATGACCATCATAAAATAATTAAACTTTAAAAGATAGTTGCGTCGAGAATCAAAAATATTTCAATGAAAAAAGATAGAAATTTATAGATTAAACAAGAATTACTTACACACGTTGCAGTGTAGCATGATACAGCATATTGCCAAATGCCAGTGCCATGTTGGACATGTGAAGAAAACTAAACCTCTTCTCAAACCGTTGCCTCAGGGCATTTAAAAGACCTACAAGTGCCCAAATGATGCCAGGAACATTTGAAAGGGTATTGAAGAACTCCGCAATGTAAGATGAATAAACATAGTTCTCCTCACAACACTCAATGGTAGATGTCACAGGACCCCAAAAGCTTGAAATTCCATCGTCCATGATTTAATAACTGAATGCTGAGTAGCAATATGCAGATACAGGGGCTTTACTCCTACACAGTGAACGTCAACGATAAAAGCTTTCTCTGCCCAGCTACAAGGATCTGCAATAAGACTTTTAGGTAAGGATCCCACAGAAGAATGAACCAAATATATATAACCTTAATCTAGTCAACTAATGTTAAAAATACAGGGTAACAAGATAAGGCTATGAACAGCAGCATACTGCCACGGTCGAATGTTGCCTACAAGGTCTAGGAGCACTAAAGCCTGTGTCATCTGAATGGCAAAATTCATGATTAAGCTATTTCAAAAGTAGTAAGTCTTCATCATTCTTCAATCTATCAAGAATAAACTACAAAGACTACTCACAGTCACATGTACACATTCTAGATTTTTGATCCATTTATATTTTCATTTCATGACAAAAAGCACATATTAAAAAGTATTACAACACAGAAAATGCTGGTCTGAAATCAGATCAAAATTAATAAAGATCAAAATTTGGAAAACATGAACTATTACAAACAACAAAAGACAAAACCCAATTCAAATTACAATGCAAACAAGCCCGTCCCTGAGCCATGGCAAAAGGAAGAAGAGGTCCAATTTCATAGTTCAATCCTAACATTAAAGGGTTCTGCAACAAATTTGATTCAATTATTGAATCAAGCTCAAAAAATCACATAATTTTAGGGAGAAGAGGCACATTTGATTCAATTATCAAAATTAGGCTCATAATTTTATTCCCTAGCAACATAATCGCTCATCAGTAATTAGAATCAATAGTTCCAACATTCGAACCCTAAATTTAGTATACTGACAATAAAATTAAATTAGATCAACGATTAACCCTAGATTGTGAAATTGATAGGATAATTAGAAAAGGAAACAATAACTTACCTAAGAAGCAGCTTTCAATGGAGGATAGAAAAATGAATGGAGAAAACGTGGAGTTGCGCTTGAATGGGAAACTGAGAAAGTGAGAGAGAAGACAAATAGCCAGGTAGCCTGCACACACTTGGGTATGGAACACGGAGTACTACTCAAACATTTAACTCCCTCCGTATCATTTCGTCACCTTTTGTTTTTTGTTTTTTTTTTTCTTTTGATGTTTTTTCTCACAAATTTTTATTTTGGAAAATGATACGAGTAATAATATGTAATTGTCATTTTCACAATTTATTTAAGAAAAAATTATCCCACCTTTGAATTATTTACTTATTTATAATAATAATACCTTTACACCTCTTCCACTTTAACTGGTCCCAACCGGTGATATAACTTGCTATTATAAGTACTAGACATGTGTCAGCTTATGATTGGTCAAAAAAATAAAAAAAATAAATTTTTTTAAATAAAAAAATAAATTTTTTTTAAATAAAAAAAAACCCCAAACCCAGATTCCGGCAGCCCAGCCACCGACCCCAAACCCAGATTCCGGCCACCATTTCCCTCCCCCCCCCCCCCGATTCCGACCACCAACTTCTTTTCCCTTCCCGATTCCGACCACCAACTACTTTATTGGTATTATATGATGATTTTAGTGATTATAATTATCTTGATCTCTTGTTTAAATGTATCATCATTTTTTTTTATCAACAACTTAAATTAAGTAGCTTAAGTATAAAGATTACTAATGTTAATACATATTTTGTTTTTAGATGATGTTATGGATGATTTTAATAAAGAAATTAAGACCCTGTTCACTTCACCTTAAAAAAATAGTATTCATTAAAAATAATTTTAGTTCAGTAAAAATAATTCTATTTCAGTAAAAATAATTCTATTTCAGTAAAAATAATTCTACTTCAGTAAAAATCAGTCCTTTTTACAGAAGAAATATAATAGAAAATCAGTAAAAATATTTTCAGTTCAGTAAAATTAATTTCAGTTCAGTAAAAGTAATTTTAGTTCAGCAAAAATAATTTCAGTTCAGTAAAAAAAATTTCAGTTCAGCAAAAATAAGGTGAAGTAAATGGGGCCTAATTGAGTGTTATTTTAGTTATTTTGTTTGTTATGTATAATCATGTATATCCAATTTTTATTTTTATTTTAAATGAAAGACAACATGAGTAGAATTGTCATTCATGATGTCCAAATTCATCTATGAAAAGTAAGTTGTGGGTATTTGGATATTGAGAGCTAGTGTTTGGGAATTTGGATACTTTGGGAGTGGGGATTAGGGGTATTGGAATTTAATTCACTAGTATCCCAACTAAACAATGTTCCTTAGTGTTGGCTTAGCTCCATTTAATGTTATTTTATTATTTTTATTGAGCAAAGGTTAGCGATGACTTTATTTAGGGTTAGTTGTCCGAATTTCTTAGCGAAGTACTTAAAAAGTGAAAAAGAAAATTAAGTACCTAAGTGTGGTTAATTCCCTGTACACTTATAATTATGTATTTCTTGTACGTAGTATTATAATTGATTGCAATACTTTTCTTATTCATTTGTCTCTCATTTTTCTAATCTTTGTAGACCCATATTTCACTTGAGTGGTGTAGACATCTACCACGCATAATGTATATATGTGATATAGGTTTTTGTTCCTTTCATTTGGTTTATAATTTAGAAATTACTTTCTTGGATAGTTTTTAATGAAGAATAGTTAAGGTAGATGAGAACATTATTGTCCAAACATTATCTAGCCTTAAACATCTAATTAAGTTCTTAAAATCAAAGGTAACTTTATTAATTTTTTTGAATAGCTATGTCTTGGGAAAATACCATTTGCCCTAACTAAAAGTTGGAAATTTTGTAATATTGCAAAGCCAACCTAACTCAAAGTTATCCATAAAAACATTATTTTCTTCATCCAAAAGACATTAAAAATCCGTTACATAGACGGCTAGACTTCTTCTTTTTCCATGACGCTGTTATTGAGCCTACAAGAGAAGTAAAGGTAATTTTCATCTTCTTTTATAAAGGTGACAATAAAGTAATGCCAAAAAGCCAACTAAGGTGAATTGAAACACATAAACATCATTCTAAAATAAAGAAATTAAATACTTAAATTGAAACACTAAAAAGAATTATCGAGTACGGAGTAGTATGGTGATTCATCTCAAACCCGAACCGTGAACCCGAATTGACGTCAGAGGGTTGAGACTAGTCCTTGACTGGTATTTCTCTGATAAACCCAAAGAAGCAGAAGAAGAAAAGAAAGTAAAATGGGGAAGAAGAAGAGCAGCCAAAACCCTAAACCCCAACAAGAAGAACTGCTATCAACCTTAGGAGACTTCACCAAGAAAGAGAATTGGGACAAATTCTTCACTCTTCGTGGCTCCGATGATTCCTTCGAGTGGTACGCCGACTGGCCTCAGCTCAAACCCCCTCTTTTCTCTCTCCTCTCTCCTTCGACATCGACATCTTCTTCTTCATCGTCGGAGAATTTGCAGATTCTTGTCCCAGGTTGCGGCAACTCCCGCCTCTCCGAACAACTCTACGATGCCGGGTTTCACGACATTACCAACCTCGATTTCTCCAAGGTTGTCATCTCCGACATGCTCCGCAGGAATGTCAGAGATCGACCCCACATGCGTTGGCGTGTTATGGACATCACTTCCATGCAGGTTTACTATTCTTTTCATATTTTGGAAGTTGGTATTATTGCAGAATAAACCAAAGTTGGGATTTTTCCGGAATAACTGAAAATTGGGATTATGAAATGTAAATGTTCGGATGATTAAAAATAATTTTTTCTTTTTTTATTTTTTATGTCATGTTTTTCTGAATTCCTGTTATTTAAGTGAATGTTCTTCCGGGGATTTAGCTAATGTTAATGTTTACTTGTTTAGGCAACAAGCACATTACTGAGTTGTAATTGCAATTGAAGTATGATTATGAGGGTTAATCTGTAAATCGATCATTCGATGCCACTTAGCTCTGGTGTGTCGTACTTTGTGTTAACTCTTCTTTGATACTTGTTGACAGTTTGCTGATGAGACTTATGATGTTGTTCTGGATAAGGGGGGATTGGATGCGTTGATGGAGCCAGAGTTTGGTTCCAAGTTGGGTGATCAATATCTATCAGAGGTGTTCTGATCTTCCATATAAGTATACTTTTTAATCACACTTATATTGCATGTGCTTGCAAGATTTGTGTTGGTGTAGTGTCACTCTAAGTGAATTTGTTGCTTTTCTGATGGGTATTTTAGTATCATCTTTAATATTCGATTCCTGCTGTGGTTTGACTTCAAATTTGGCGTCTCATCAGGTGAAGAGGGTCTTAAAACCGGAAGGGAAGTTTATCTGTCTCACATTAGCAGAGTCTCATGTCTTAGGTATTGTTTTGTTTAGTTTCACACGTTTGCTGTAACTAACATTTTGCTCGTTGTTTTTCTCTGCCATTTCTTTGCCAAATGATCCTTTTCTAAGGATTGTTAATACTTAATATTGTAGAAATTTGATCATCTTCTAAACAAGCTTCTATGGTTTTCCTCTGCTTATAACCTTTTCCTGAATATTGATGGTCGCCATTGTTTTCTCTTTTGTTTTTCCAGGCTTACTTTTCCCCAAATTCAGGATTGGGTGGAAAGTGACTCTTCATTGCGTACCTCAGAAACCGTCTAGTAAGCCTAGCCTTAGTACATTTATGGTGGTGGCTGTTAAAGGCGACTCTTCTGTAGTGGACAAAATAGTGTCATCTTTTGATCATTCCTCAATTGATTGCAACAAAGAACAGGTAAAGCTTTTGTATCTACCAAGGATTCAGCTTTTGTTATTTGTTATTGAGAACAGGATGCATGCAAAACTGTGAGCAAATATCGGGAAGTTGCTGATCTAGTGATCTGTGCTATGTTCTAGAATTTTTCTACATTGCAAATAGAGTACAGCTGATTACTTTGAATTGGTTTGATGACAAATTGAATTGGTCTGACTTGAAAATTAGGTGTTGAATGAAATGTGATGAAATATCTTTTTGGTAATGAAACTATTTAATTTAGTTTCAAAAACAATCAGTAAGAAAGTACTGTATAGTTCTTGATGCTATATGATCAATCTCAAATCACTTAGAGTGCTGGTAGTATGTTATCAAGAAGCCGGCTTGCAGGCTTATGATGACAAAACTCTTCTGTATGCCAAGGGTGAAAAACTGTGTGTTGAATTTGTTGATGGATGGACATGTGTGTTATGTGTGTGTTTTGTATGTGCAGGCAAAATTCTGCTAAAGTTCTAACAAATTGAATGGTGTTTTATGTTCTGACTAAATTAATATTTGTTTTCCACAAATTGCTGACAGAATATATATTGTATGACAGATTAAAGGACTCAATGCTGCTCTTGAAGCTGAAAATGAAGTTCGCCAAGGACATTTGGATGGCTCTGATTTATTATACTCTCTTGAAGATCTGAAACTAGTGGCTAAGGGTGATATGATGGAGCTTAGTCCTGGTCGACGTGTTCAATTGGTCTTGGGTGGAGTTGGCTCCCTTTTTCGTTATAGAGCTGTGGTTCTAGATGCTCAACCACAGTCTCTCCCCTTCTCATACCATTGTGGAGTTTTACTTGTGCCAAAGGTTAGGACATGCTCTACAGCTTGCTTAAGATCAATTTCTAATGGTCATAGAACTCATAAAAACCGCAGAGCTGGATTTCATGATTTCATCGTCCCTTATGGTTTGCAGTTATGTGTTTCATGATAAATAATCTATACTCAGCTTAAAACTTGCTTTAAGATGACCACTTAACCTTGTTTCAAATTTACTTCAACAATAGCTGTAACCCTCTTCCTCCTGGTGATGTCCTTTTAACTTTGACTTGGATATGGTCTTGGTAAACTTAGGGTGAACACAACTCAGTCTGAAGCCTGTGTACACCAGATAGAAAAGAAAATTTCTTTTGTTTCTACATTGATTCTTTATTAACCTGACAAATTTGATGTATAACTCTGCATATCTAGATTTTATGATATTTAATTATTAGATGTTGGTGACCTGAACTGTAAATTTTTAATTTTCTATTTTAAGACTAGGGTTCGTGAATGGCTTTTTACCTCAGAAGAAGGACAATGGATGGTCGTTGAGAGTGCTAAGGCTGCTCGACTGATAATTGTAATTTCTTGTTTACTTGCTCTCTGAGCTATATTCAGGTTTTATAATTATTGAGATTTGCTGTTGAGAAGCCTATTTTTTTTTACTAAAGCGTTGTGAATCTTCAGATTTTCTTAAACTCCAGTCATGCTAACCTTGGGATGGAAGAAATTCAGGTAAAGATAGTCTTGTCAAACAAGAAATATTAATTTTCTTTGTAGAATTTTGAAAACAATGAGACACTGATGTATGTTCTGCATTTGTAGAAAGATCTTTCTCCTCTCGTGAAGCTGTTGGAACCTGAGAACCATGATAGTGGCGCTCAAATTCCGTATGTTTTTTAGCTTCCTCCTCTCTTTGTTCTGTAGATTTCTTAGTATGATGATTTAATGGAATAAGAAACATATTTCAGCAACAATCAACTGCATGATACTTCTTGAAAGCTAGGAGTACCTTTAGCTATGTCTTGAACCCTGAGAATGAGCCATGCATATCTTCTAGTAATCTGAATATCGGTGGGGTTTAATTGTGCTAAAATGAGTAAAGCAAAGCATCATGCTGTGTGTATAAACTCAGCTGAACTCATGTTTTTAGTAGAGATTCACAAGTTTTTAAAACTTGGGCCCTTTAATATCTCTTTTCTTTGATCCTTAATTCATTTTTAAAGTTTAAACCATCTAAGATAGTAAAAAAAATTTAGATATCTTTTTTACTTTGATATATATGCTTAATTTCTCTTAATTATTTAGCAAATGTTAGTAACATTTGTTTGCATGCATGAGCATGAATTTATCTTGAACTTAAAACACAATATAAAGATATGCAATAGGTATTTGGTAGTACTTGTGGTTGGTGGGTGCATGTGACTAATTAAAAAATTAGTCATGTACTTACTTTGAAAATAATTTCATGGGAACCACAAAAACCAGCTACTATGATAAATGCTTCCTGTCATGGATATGCATGCTAATTTTTTTGTCAATATTGTGGTTCTCTGTGTTTCTTGCAGATGGTGAAGTTTTAGTTAGTCTAATAATCATTTGAAATTTATTCATATTTTTCTTGATTGATGAGTTTTCTTACCAAATCTGTGTGCAGGTTTATGACTGCTGGTGATGGTATTAAGCACCGGAAAATTGTTCATGAGGTTTGAAGTTTATGTATTTCAAGTATAGATGTCAATAGTTTCCTTTACTATTGCTATTGTTAAATTCCTTTTATCACTTATTTTCTAAATGGGTGCTTGTCAAGGCACAATTTGCTGATTTGAGGGATAAATCATTCACATCATGCAAAATGTTTTGTCTATACTCTAGTTGACCACTATGGGACTATATCCCATAACAATTAATATGGTTCTTTTAATGTCTTTTTTTAAGAGGTACTATAGAACTGAACTGAATTTTATGCAAAATGATGCTCCCTCCATTCCTAAAAAATGGTTATGTTTCAATTATTTTGTAGATTAAAATAATTTTATTTATTCTATACATTTTCCCTCATGCATACCTACATCCAATGCAGCTATTTCCCATATTTCAAAATATTTACCTACTCCAAAACAACTATTTCTATTTACAAAAATATTTACCTAAGGTAGAATAAATATGAATTTTCTTTTTCTTCTTCTTCTTCTTCTTGTTCTTTTCTCTCTTTTTTTTTTTTTTTTTATTAAATTTTGCTTGAGTGATGAAGAATGAAGATCTTTCTTGGAAACAAAGAGGAGAAGAGTTTCTTATGGGTGAAGTTTGAAATTTATTAAAATGGAGAGAAAATGGATTTGAGGAGAGAGAAATGAAGATCTAAGATACAAAAATGGAGGTTTGAAGAGACATAAATGATGATCTAAGTTGAAAAATGGAGGTTTGAAGAGAGAGAAAAAGGGAGAAGAAGTTGGGTATCAAATATCAATAGCAAGGGAATTAGGGAAAGCTTATTATTTTGTTTATAATATTATACTTTTCAATTTTAAAAGGGTAATATTGTAAATTTGCTATTTATATACCCAATGTATTTCTACTACCATGCCAAATAAGGGATAGGAAGAAAATAAATGAATTCCCCTCTATAAATTCCCTATCCTTTCCCAAGCGTTATACCTATCTCCATGTCAAACCAAGCACCCTGTAAATTAATATTGATCTGTTTTCTTGTAAATAAAAATACTATGATTTCGTGTTAAACTGTTGAAACAGATTAATGCATTGTATCGTTTGTTGAGAAACTCCTGTCAATTTTCATACTGGCCTGGATTTGTGGTGGTCAATGTATAGTGATCCTCCTCACTTCCCTCTCATGCTTTGCATAGTGGCCTTTATATTATCTCAATATATTTTATATTTATATAAGCATATATAGTGATATTTGTTTTTTTTTTTTACGTGGGGGGTTTTTGGAAGATGATTGTACTGGTACATAGTCCAGTCAACTGCATCCTAATTATCTTCAGTATCTTTTGCATTTGTAGGTCACTTCTAAATTAACTGGGCAAATAGTTGTTGAGGACGTTATTTATGAAAATGTCGATGAAAATCTTGCTTCCATCTGTCCATCAAAGGAGCCTGTATTCCGTCGACTTATTTTCCAAAGGACTGAGAGTCTAGTTCAATCAGAAGCATTGCTACTTAATGAAAGATCTGAGGTATGTAATGATGTAAATGGAAGGAAAGAATCTCCCACAACTGCGAAATCTAATTTGAAAGAAAAGGAGAAGACAAAGAAATCTCAACAGTCTAAGATAGATGGTAAGGAATGTCATCTCAATCTCTATCCATTTGACTCGGGTTCTATTCATTTAAATTATATGTGTCTTGTGCTTATTTGGTGATTTAAGATGGGAAACTAAGAGCTTATTCTATGATGAAAGAGAATTGGCCAAGAACACGACTGAATGTTATTTGAAGTTACTTCATTTTCAGAATCTTGTGTTCATTTCAAGATTGTAGTAGCAATTCAACAACAATAATAAAGCCTTAATCCCAATGATGGGGTTGGCCACATGAACAAAGATTTTATCTCCTATGGTCGTCAATCTTTAGCAGCGATGCTGTTAAATTTTAGTGAATGTAACCATTTTGCTTGATAAAAATTACCTTGATTTGAAGAATCTTTACCTCTATTAAGAATAATTTCAACTGAAGTGATACTGTGAATGTCTGCTGTTGAGCAATTGGACTAAACACTCTGCCTTCATTGAATCTAACAGTTGAACATTTAAATTGAAATAAGTGTTGAAATTTTTGAATTGTTTCTCTTAATCTTGTAATTCTATATTATTTTTCCCTTGATTTCTCAGAGCTGAACAACAATGTGGTAGTTGATCACACCTTCGTGGCTAGCTCATACCATACTGGAATTGTTGCTGGATTCACGCTGATCTTACCTTACTTAGAAAGTATGGTATGTAGCAAGAAAAAAGTAAGAACTGTTACTTGGACCCTCTTGTTCATTTTTGCTGGAAGTGTGGTGTTGAGATTGTTGTAATTGGTCTTTAATCTTGTAAGTGTTGCTCTTTTCAATTTTCTTATTTTCTTTTATGTTGTAGGTTGAGACTGTTGTAATTGGTCTTGGAGCTGGTCTGCTTCCAATGCTTCTCCACAACTGTATAGACTTTCTTCAAATTGAGGTAATTTGCGTCCTCTATCATTTGGAGCATTTGTAATTTTGTATACTGCAGAGATTACGCTAATTTGGTGTTTGTTGCAGGCAGTTGAATTGGATCCGGTGATGTTAAGTCTTGCGAAAGAATACTTCGGTTTTTGTGAAGATGACCGTTTAAAGGTAGTTTTTTGAACTTATAGATAATAAATTTTTGTTGTTTTTCTTTTCAAAAAAAAAAAAAAAAAGAAAGTGAAAAAGTGTTTTTTCACAGTTATATACTTATATGTTTATTGTGCATTTTCTGTACATGTTCATGTATATGGATTGCATTAGTTAAAAGTGTTTAACCTGGTTTTTGAACTCTTTTGCCAATGTTGCTTTATTTATACGGGTTTCTGGGTGGCTTAATCACCATATACTTGTCTAGTGTCTTCTCACTCTCCTAACTTTCATAGAAATTTTCTTTTGTGAAGAAGGTAATATGTAGCTGCAGATTGTACAACTGTTGATTTAGTTTTACTTTTACATTCACCTTTGCCTTATGAAGTTTGAGGTGGAAAGTATCACAGAATGTTCGAAGGATGCAGTGTAGAAAGTTTGGTTATTCCCAATCAACAATGAATTCTCATTTGATGGTTTTCTTGAGTCTTTATTTGCCTCATTTGTTGCTTTCCTTCTGTGCTGTGGTATAACTTGTGTTTTCTGCTTTATGATGTTCTTAGGTTCACCTTGCTGATGGCATTCAGTTTCTCCAAAATTTTACCATTTCCAGTCTCCAAGAAAGGGATGATATCCAAGACAGTATTAGTGGCAGTTCTGTAGCATCTAATTTAAGACGCCACCCTGTCCAGAAATTTGACATAATTATAGTTGATGTAGATTCATCAGATTCAAGGTGGTTATTTTTTCATTTTATATAATTTATAATCATTTTCTTATATACGTAGTATACTAGTATTATAGGATCTTTATCTATGGTTTCCTTGTTACAGCTCTGGACTTTCTTGCCCTGCTGCTGATTTCGCTGAAGATTCCTTTTTTGCTACTGTAAAGGATGTCCTTTCTGAGCAGGGGCTTTTCATCATTAATTTGGTCTCAAGATCTCCATCCATAAAGGAAGTGGTTGTTTCAAGGATGAGAGCGGTAAGAAAATTAACTGGGAATTTGGTAAATTTTCAGCACATAGGAAGCTGGGTATGAAACAATGTTGAGTCTGCTAGCATGAATTTCTGCTTGATTGGCATGTAAATATGGAGTACTGCTTTAGATTTCAGCTGTCAATTAAACTTCTAGACCTTAGTTTCAGTGCCAGCAATGGGCACGACCTTAGATCCTAGATTGACTAAGGCCAAAACTCCTGGACTTATAAGCCTGGTTCATAGTTTATTATCCCTGAACTGAAGTTATTTAACTGTTAGCAATCACCAAAATTTGTCAGAATTTATATGTAGCTCTGGCCCTGACTTGTTAGTCTTTGACTTAAACAATCTGAACACACTGAACTTTATTAGATTTGAAACTTGTTTTTTAGGGCGAAAACGCCGAAAAGTACTGGGCTTAATTCAAACATGTTAACTCAGGTGTACTTATTTGCTGTCAAGTATCAAGCCTGTCAAAGCTTTTTGCTAGTCATTGCTTTAATATATAACTACTGCAGTTTTACTAGTGACATGCTTTGATCTTACCATACCCCTGAATTGGAGCTTCATCAACAGCCATTTGTGATTGTGATGATGATATTGTTTGATAATATTAGGAAATATATGTTGAAAACTTCGCTGAGAAATCACAGTAGATTGGGGCAAAGAAGAAAGTTCTATTAATGATACACCGTACACTATTGTAGTTTGTATTTTACTGTTCTCTGTATGAGGTGGCGCAGAGGGTGCTCTGGGGAGCTAACTGAAATTTGTTCTCTTGGCATAGTATAGCCCGATATTATTTCACTTTGAGGTACTGAATTACTGATGTATTATATTATTATAATTCTTTTTCCTTTTCAGGTTTTTAGCCACCTTTACTGCCTTCAACTTGAGGGAGATGTGAATGAAGTCGTATTTGCTGCTAACTCAAATATGTGTGTTATGGATAATAGCATTTCTGAAGCAGCACTCCAGTTTCAGAAGTTGTTGAAGTTTGAAAATCCAGAGCGAAGCCAAGGCATTGTGGATATGGCTAAGCAAATTAAGCGCCTAAATTGAGACTAGGCTCAACAGATGAAATTTCACTGATGGTGAAGCTTCTCAATATTTGGTCAAATATGGTCCCTTTGGGCAATGGGAATCAAAGTGGGTTAAATATGACTCTTCCAATCATAGACTAGAAAAGTAATGAGTTTTGGAATCGGCTTGGAGGATGAAATTGCTCAACCTATATGGTTCCAGTGACTAGGAGTGGAGGACTTATCAAGCACGCAAACTCAAAAAGAGGGGAAGTTTGAACAAAATATCAGACATAAGCTAAAGGGATATTGTATGCATATCATTGACATCAATGAGTTTTTGATTTTGAGAACGAATATCAGTTTTTCATACAGGTGAATGAAATGGATTTGCTTTTACATGTTCATGGTGATGGACGTAGATAGTGTATGTAGATCCTTGGATATATGTACTGTCCTCAGTCATCTTTTCCATTGGTATTACATTTGGCGAAAATTTTGCGAGGTTTGTGTGATGACACTTAGAGGCTCAGAGGTTAAGCCACATTCAGGTTTTACACTTTTACGTAACCAACACAATAGTTGCTTTCAAGTATAACGGGTACATTATATGAGAATCTAACTTCGTGTAAAGTTGAGATTTGATATTGTCTTTATGCTTCTTAACCTAATTTAGTTGGTTAAAGTTTTGAAGCTTCTTACACTAATTTAGTTGGTTAAAGTTTTGGAGATAATATGAACCAAATTACTCACCACTCATGGCAGATACATATGCAATATTCACTCACCTTAGTGGGTATAAAACCAAATCCACACTCGCTTCACCACCCAAATATATATTAACAACCCACCTTTTACCTGCTTGAACCCCACTTTAAAGAATCTTTAATTCTGAAAAGTCATAAAATAATTGTGACATAAGGTGGAAATTAGGCTAACAAATAGATATGAAGTAGGGAAGTCAATATGAGACGAATATGATTTCAAATCTACCACCAACTCCGTAATAACGGGTATGACTTTTGATATCCATACTTGTCTACTATCTTCCAAAATCATATCCATACCACTCCAATTAAAACGAGTATGATATAAAATCCGCAATAATATACCCACATGTCATCCGTAATCTATATCGATTTCATTAAATAAAAAAAAAAGGTGCTTAATAGCGTAAAGAAAGCAGTTAACCGCCAAAATCCGGTGGCAGTAAACTTGGTAGAAGGTTTAAAGAGTTAAGACTAGAGAGACTAGAGCCCACTAAAGAACAGTAGGTGTCACCTGCTCATACGGAGTCAATGAGTTTGTCCCCCCACCGCGCTGGGTTGGATCTTCGTTGGCTTCTCTCAACACTAATTTATCTCCATTTTTATTACTTTCTTTTCTTTTTTTCTTTTAACAAAAATCAAACTTTTAGTTTTTTATTTTTAGCAAATCCACCCAAAAAAAGAAAAAGAAAAAGGTTGCTGCTTTCAACAAATTGAACATGGCAGTAAGTTTTAATCTTTTCTTTCTTTATTTATACTTGAGTTTACTTAATGATTTATTGCTTTGAATATTCTGGGTTTTCTTTCTTTATGATTTTGATTTACATCTGTTGCTGTCTTGATTATGCTCTGTGATTAAATAATTATAACTACTGTTAAGCTGAATTTTCTATGATTAGGCTTGTTCTTCCATTTACAACTGTTGTAAATTACATATGTAAGTTAATTTTATTGAAAGAATTACACAAAGTATAATTTTATTCATAAATACTGTTATTCCTAAAATGTTAGATTTTTTAAAGTTTAGTTAGTGTTAATTGATTTGGGGAGACATGTTTTATCTCTAAATTTAATAAGGTGAAGAACATACATTACTTGGCTGCACTGCTTTTTTAGGTGTGTGACAATTCTGTAATACAGTGTTAGGTTGTATTGATTTTTGTACCGACAATGGAAAATGATACGAATTAGTAAGTTTTTTTTTTTAAAGATCATCATTAACATGTCTATACTGCGAAGTTGTATCTCTTATACTCTTCTCAATTGAGTCATATGTCTTGATTAGTTGATTAGCCGCGGATTAGTGAAGTTGTAGTTTAGGAATATCAGTTGTTCTTCAACATATGCACAACTGTCATACTGTATTGTATCCTGTAATTTTCCCATTCTTTGCCGGATTTTTCCTGCATTAAAAGGGGAAACTTGACAAATTAAGAGCGGTGGTTGAGCTAATCTTGGTGCGTTGGTGTATACACTAAAATATAGTATGAACTCTATGAAATAATACTTTTCTAAATAATTTATTAATTGAAATGATTGTTGAGTTGAAACAACACGTCATTTGGTAGTTTTTCTTAGTGAGAGTACTAGATTTTATTGTGTGCAAGTTTTTGTGTGACTTTCTAAGTTTTAGATCTTACTAGTGAAGGCACTTTAAGCATTCACTGTGAGTTTCTCATAAGTGTATCATCATGTGGCAGCGAACAAATGTGCCAAAGTTTGGAAATTGGGAGACTGAAGAAGATGTCCCTTATACAACCTATTTTGAAAATGCAAGGAGGGTTACATCAAGTGATAAGGGAAACCCAAATAACTCTCCTGATAATCCTAATGTGGTCTCTAAATTTGAGGCACGAAGAGGATCAGAGGCTGTGAGAGCAAAGCAGGAGCACATGGTAAGCCAAGAGGACGGTGAGCCACAAAGGTCATATGATTCCCCATCACGCTGTAATGGAGGGCGTAAAGCTTCAGTCAATTCAACCCATCATCGACCTGCTGGAGTAAGCAGTGATTCACCCAAAAGAGCTACAAGGGCAAATGGAGGAGGTATGCGCAGTGCCAACCAGTCTCCTCTGCATCCTCATTACCAGGCAAATATTGGCACCAAAGGAACCGTGGTTTCTTCTCCTTCACGGGAAAGGAAGGGTCCTTCTGATGGAGGTCATGGTTTGGCTCCTTCCACTCCTGGAAGATCCCGTCTGAGATCTGTTGCTCGAGGCAATGAAACTGTAATAACTTTCTTTCTTCTGGTTTTAAGTTATGCCTGAATATGATTATGTATAATATTAACAACTATTCACTACCTGACTCCTCCGGTCCCTTCCCAAATGAAGATTGATGCTATGCTACTTGAAATCTTCATTTTTTCTGAAGTATGAGATTGTTGATTAGTTAATTGACTATAACCACATGGATGTAAACGCTTGGCACTCTTTTTTGAGCTATAAACTTGCAATATATATATATAGAGAGAGTGGCCATGCAATGGTTGAACGTTCCTTCATGTTTAGGAACTGTAGGCTTCTAGCAATCTCTGATTAATGTAGACTGATCGGCAATTACATGATCATATAGAGTGGATGAGGATCAACTCAGATACAATGTTTGCTACTGATGTGTTTCTGCTTAAAACTTGGGTGGTTGTAGGAATTGTGTGTTCTGTTTGGTCTTTTTGTTGGATGTGTTTTTGGTAAGAATTGCTTCACAACTACTATATCTTCTTTTGTTGCCTGTTCATCTTAGCATAAGACTCCTTAGGTCCTCAGAGTCTTGCTCGTATCTTCTCAACAGCTCTGCTCTTCTCAACCTTTTGTGTCTTGTTTTTACGAAGTCTTAGGTGTGCATCATGTTAAGAGATGAACTAATAGCTGTCCAGCAGGATACTCAAAGTTTGCCCAAGCTTTCATGAAAGTGTTTCTGCCTGGCTTATATGAAAATGAAACCCCCATTTATAAGGATAATTGCAAGTGTTTTGAGATTTGTTAGCGTAATATTGCAGCCTGATCGAGGTGCTTCTGTTCCCAAATTTGGGGAATGGGATGAGACCGACCCTTCATCAGCCGATGGGTTTTCAGTCATTTTCAACAAAGTGAAAGAGGAGAGGCATGGCAGCGTAGGAAGTGTGACCGGTACAGCAGTTCACGCTCAACAATCTGATGGCAAGCACTATAAAAGTAAAAAAAATAAGGTCTGTGCTGTAATTCTTATAAATTTTCTTATGATTGCTGCCATTGACTGTTTGAAGCTAACTAAGCTTATTTCTTTCTCTCTATCTCTTGCTCAGGGGTGCGGATGCCTTCCTTGGTGAGGAAACTGATGCATACTGCTTGCTTATTATGTAATCATTGTAAAATATGTGTGAGGTACCGTGGAGTCGTCTGTGTGTTGTATATCATGTAATTTTCTTTCATTGTATTCTTTCTCCTGTGAATTCTATCATCAGTATAAATATCAGTGGGCTAAGGTAAAAGCAAATTCTTTTATGGCTTCACTTAGATGTCTCTCACTCTCTCTTACCAATTATGCACAAATTTAATCAACTATGAGCAATAATGTACCAAATCTTATTGGAGTATTCGCTTTAGTAATGCTCCTCGAGGAAGGGATCCTAATGTCCTCACATTTCCCAGGAATTAAAACAATTTATAGAAAATTTTATGGAATAACTGGGTGATGCTACCTCACCCTGACTTAAAACTTTAAAAGTGAAATTGCTGTTTAAGTGACACCTAAATCTACATATTCATCTATTTTTCCCAGCATTCATCAGCATAAATCATCATTAACCATTTATATCCAATTAAAAGTGGACGATACCTTAATGGCAAACTTCTGTAAAAACTCCTACATAAATATGGATCTGTCTTGCACTCTTGCGTTGGGGTGACTTGTTATACTGTTATTTAAGACTGATTAATGTATTTTGAGCATATGGCTTGTTACATTGTTCATTAGTGACTTGCTGATGTTTGACGTTGCATTCATAATATTGGTGAAATCCTTAGCACTCAGACCGGTTGCAAAGTGCGAGCCTTCTGACTGCCTTGAACACCCCCAGAATTTCTTTGTTCTAGCTTCCCAATAAAAGCTGTTCTATCTTCATCACTGCAAGACAAGCAGTGCTCACTCCTAGGACTTCTACAACCGATTTAGCTCGATAACCATGTGTGTGTGTGTGTGTCATATCTACAACCCTTTTCTTTCTCCTATAAATTTTGTCATCAATGAATTCTCCAGCTGTTCTACAATGCTCGCTATTCTTGTCTACGAACATCCTACCACGGAAGGATAATGCCCTTATATTGGATTTTTTTTTTTTTGGTGAGGTATTGGATTATAACATCACACAAGGATAGAAATAATAGATCGTATGATGAAGCAACCGCAAAAATTACTACGAAGTACTTCTGTAGCATAGGCGCATGACCAACCACATTTAGGCGTTAGTGAATAGCAAGATTCAACCACACCAACATTACCAAGGCAATTCTATCCGATTCAACAACAATTACAAACTCCTCTTTGGATGTTCTTTAGTTCAAGCACCAACCTTCTCATCTATAACAACCATTGAAAAATTATTTAAGAGGCCAAAATCCACATTAATACATTATAATCCTTTTTTTTTTTTTTAAAAAAAATTTATTCTATACAACAAAATGATAACGAAAGTTGTACATTATTCCCATATTCCATTTCATGATTTATTTTTTTAAAAAGCATAATCATCATTTCTTG